TGGGCTCCCTTTGTAAATGATATGAGATTATTTTGATCTCACATTGAAAATGTTTGAAAAGATGAGCTTTTGAGCTCCTCTATATAAGAGGTACAAACATAATTGTTTGTCCATTAATGTTGTAAGTATCGAGAAGTTAAAAGGTTCTTATTTAAGAAACCTTAGCTTTGTCTTCTTATTTTAGTTTTTATTTATTTATTCATTATTTGATATTAGTGGGTTGGGAAAGATTAACCCAAAATGTATGTGTTGTTTTAGTTTTTAGCAGTTTAGAGCAAATTACTGAGTTATTAAATAATATTTTTGGTATTTTGATTAAAGATAAATTGTTAAAATGGCGAATTTGTTAAAATTTTGGTGAATGTGTCAATCTCAATTTTTTTTTAAATCGTCAATAATAATAATAATAATAATAATAATAATAATAATAATAATAATAATAATAATAATAATAATAATAATAATAATAATAATAATAATAATAATCCAAACAAAACAATATACAAAATAAAATTAAAATTAGAAAAAAATAAGAAGAATGATGTGGGATCATTTTAATCTCACATTGAAAATGTTTGGAAAGATGAGCTCTTGAAAATGTTTACAAACATAATTGCTTGCCCATCAATGTGTGCAAGTAGTGAGAAGTCCAAAGTTTTTTTTTTTTTTCTTTTTGTTTAGAAGTAAAGGAAAATTAAGAATAGAAAGAAAATATTTCAATAATAATATTTTACATCATCAAGTAGTAAAGACATATTTTAAAAAATAGTAAATGTAAATTAAAAATGGAACGAAAATATTTCATTAATAATATTCTACATCATCAAATTAAAATGTAACGGAAATTAGGTAAAAATATCAATACATCTATATTCTAATTGACTGAAAATAAAAAAAAATAATTGACTGAAAATGAATCTAATATTACTAATTGACTGAAAATATAAAAGAAAATGAATATTAATAATTGACTGCAAATAAAAAAATGCTCCATAATTGACTAAAAAACAAAAAGAAATGGTCAGATCATTGCATTTTAATTAAAAATGGAATGAAAATTAAAAATTAGAGAAAAATATTTCAATAATAATATTCTACATTATCAATAGTAAATGCATATTTTAAACAATAGTAAAGGTAAATTAAAAATGGAACAAAAATATTTCAATAATAATATCTACATCATCAATTAAAAATTATCACTGCATTTGATATTCTAATTGATTAATTGACTGAAAATAAAAAAGAATAATTGGGTGAAAATAATTGGGTGAATAATTGGGTGAAAATGAATCTGATATTTTAAGATTTTCTAATTTATCCTTAATTATATGATTATCCATTTAACTTTTCCGTTAATTCACCGTTAGTTTAATTCTAATATTAAAGTCTAATATAGAATTATAACTACACCATTAATCTAATTCTAATATTGAAGTCTTAATAGAACTTAACCACAAATCCTAATGTCGGAATCTCCTCAAACAATATTAGTATATATTTCATATTTTATGCTCTAATTTTTATTTGTTCTCCCTTATGTCCCGTATTTGGTTTCAACCATACCTATACAATTATTTTATTGACAATTATAATCAATATTGACTATATTATCTTGCATTTGTAAACTTAGAATTACCTATTTAACCCGCACGGGCTTAGCACAATGGTTTAGTGGGTAGTATTTGGGAGAAGAGACCAAGGTTTGAACCTCGGCGCCAGCAATGCGGGAATTATGTCCAAAGTGGGCAAATTCCTTGTGCGTACCAGCATTTGGCCTTGTCTGCTGAACCATTGAGTCACCGTGATTTACAACTTCCCACAATGCTCTGTCGGGTCGGAGTGTGGGGGGGCCCTTGGGGTTGGGGACTCAACCTTTGGGAGAAGAATTACCTATTTAAATACGCAAATTCAACCTTCAATTATCTATGCATGAACAATTTCAATATAATCTTGCCTTAATATACTTTAAAGTACTTATTTAAAAAAAAAAAAAAGCATTGGGCATTATCCCAATCGCGCAATGCGCGTAAAAAACTAGTACTATATATAAAAACAAAATCATGGAATTTTAACTTTCCCGCCCAATTCCTAAAAAATCTATATTCATAATAAAATATATTGATTTCTACTTTCCCATTCGTACAATAATTCTGCGTTAAAATTCTATTCTAATATTATAAAATGGTGTAATACAATCTATACTATATATAAAAACAAAATCGAATTTTAACATCCCGCCCAATTCCTAAAAAATCTCTCTACCTAACAAAATATATTGATTTCTACTTTCCCATTCGTACAATAATTCTGTGTTAAAATATTATAAAATAGTGTAATACAATCTATACTATATATAAAAAATAAAATCCTGAAATTTTAACTTCCGCCCAATTCCTAAAAAATCTCTCTTCCTAATAAAATATATTGATTTCTACTTTCCCATTCGTACAATAATTCTGCGTTAAAATTCTATTCTAATATTATAAAATAGTGTAATACAATCTATACTATATATAAAAACAAAATCCTGAAATTTTAACTTTCCGCCCAATTCCTAAAAAATCTCTCTTCCTAATAAAATATATTGATTTCTACTTTCCCATTCGTACAATAATTCTGCGTTAAAATTCTATTCTAATATTATAAAATAATGTAATACAATCTATACTATATATAAAAACAAAATCCTGAAATTTTAACTTCCCACCCAATTCCTATAAAATCTCTCTTCCTAATAAAATATATTGATTTCTACAATAATTCTGGGTTAAAATTTTATTGTAATATTATAAAATTGTTTAATACTATTCATATTCTAATCTATATCTATTTTATATATCATTGTTGCAAAAATCGTGTCGCTGACCGCGGTGAGGAAGGCCGGAATCGGCCTCCTCAGCTGCCGCCTCGCCGGCTGAACCGGCCTTTAATTTTTTTTTTTTAAGTTGTAAAGTATCAAAAGTTCGACAAGGCATAACTTTTGACTCCGTTGTCCGTTTTGGACAAATGTTTTTTTGAAATCGCGTATTTTTTCTACAAAAGTTCGGCAAGGCATAACCGGCATGGCTTATCAGTTTTAACTTCCCGCCCAATTTCTAAAAAAACTCTCTTCCTATTAAAATATGTTGATTTCTACAATAATTTTGGGTTAAAATTATATTCTAATATTATAAAATTGTGTAATACAATTTTCTATTCTAATCTATATCTATACTAATATCGTTTTTGGACAAATGTTTTTTTGAAATCGCGTATTTTTTTGAGATTTATCCACCGCAAACTGCCTTAGGCGGTTTGGCCCACCAATTTCACCCGTAAAAAAAAAAAACTTTATTAAATAGTTTCTAAGAAAAAATTATGAGAACCTTATATTTTATTAATGAATTTTTAAAAATTTTAATTAAAAAATTGTCGCGTGGATTAATTAATAATCTTTCTTTATAATTGGTCAAATTATTTAATTATGGTAAATTAGGGAATAATTAATGATGGTAATATAAATCTTAGAAGAATATATAATTGAAGAATATTTAATTATTTTTATATTATTATTGTGACTCACGGAATACAATATAAGAATATTTAATTATGGTTATATTATTATTGTGCATCACCAACATTATATACTAACAGTACTTGAAAAGAAACAAATAATAATAATATAATAATAATAATAATAATATAAGTAGTAATCATAATATCTAAAAGTAATTAAGTGTTATTAATAAAAATAGTAAGAATATTAACGTAAGAATTATAACATAGAATAAATCGTAATAATTAATAACTATAGTCTATGATTAAATTTGGAATTGTCAGGAAAGATAAGCGACCTCTGGTAAAATTAACTCTTAAATAATTATATATCGATTTAAATATTCTTAATATATTACAACAATTCCATTTCGTGCATCGCACGGGTGAAAATACTAGTAAATTTAAAAAGAAAAACATAAAGCTTTGTGTATGGTAACAATTATACACAGTAATTCTAATTCAAATAAAACTTTAAAATTTGACAAACTAATATCAAACGTGTGTATGTTATAACAATTATAATTTTCGATACAAATAACTTTAAAAATTACGACATAATATCATTTTAAAAAAATATAATATAACAAAATATCTACTATATAAAACTAAAAATTAAAAATTAAACCCTTACAAAAAAAATTATGTATATAAAAGCATGTTCAAATTTTAAATTTTGTTATTGCTAATTATTTTATTTAAATAAACTACGCCACATGTATCTTAAATAAAAAAAAAAATTATAATATTGCTTATTAACAAAATTTCAAAATAAGAGTACATATATTGAAATTTCAAAATAACTTGTCCTCCCATATGGGAGGTTGTGGTCTCGTTGTTTGGTTTCAATCGGTTTAATTTTGTTATTGCTAATTTTGTGGGAGCATGTTCAACAACAAAAATTTTACCTCAAAGACATCGATTTTTAATTGTTGTCTATGTGCATTTTTCTTGTAATAAGATATGGTAACTTTTGAACACCTACCATTTTAAAGAGCACCAACTGATATATTCAAAGCCGTTTAAATTGTTGGCACTCGAACTCAATAAATAGAGCCCCTCATAAAAAGTTTAAAGAAAAGGCAAGTATTGAAAGTTAACAAGTACACAAACAAGCAAAAAAACTCTCTTTGTGATTAAGCATCCTATGTTTCAAAGAATTGTTTAGATTTTGTCCAACTTGAATGTTTAGACAAAAAGCCTCTCTCCCTACTCTCTTTACATATTTGTTGATTGAACTAAATGACATACCAATACTTTCATACGCTTTGCAAAACAAACACAAAACAAGCTACAATAATCTTTTCCAAGTTTAAGACCTTTTTTTTTTTTGGCAAATTGCTTTGATAATTTCTTTCTAGTTAATTAAAAAAAAAAAAAAAGACTTCGCAACCCCCTTCCCTTCTAGACTTTTACTTGTTGGGACTAACAAGTGGCATCAAAGTAAAAGAACAGATTTATTCAGCTCTTTTAACACTCTTCTTCTTCTGAGCTCTTCTCACACACCACTCTTTGGAGTGAATTCCATTTTTGGTCCTACTGTTATAGGGGAGTTTCCAATTTCAGTCTACTTTAATTTTTTTTTGCCGCTTTACAACCACTGTTATTGAATGTGTTCCACTTTTAGTCCACCGTTAATATTTCCGTCAAGATGCCGTATAATCAAAGGGTATTTTGGTCTTTTTATGTTTGTCTCCTCTCTTTTAATCCAGGCGCTTCGTCCTCCTCCTCCGATATTCGAAAATGGCTCTTCGAACAACGAGAATGGGAAGCCAAAGCTACATCGTTTCGTTCGTTCCGACATGGACCGGCGAGGTTTCTTGGATTTTAGGTTTAATGTTCTCATTTCTTTAGTCAAACATAGTCTTGGATGAAAAGAAATGTCAAAATACCCCTAGATTACACGGCATCTTGATGGAAATACTATCGGTGGGACTAAAAGTGGAACACATTCAATAATAGTGGTTATAAAGTAGCAAAAAAAATTAAGATGGACTAAAATTGGGAACGCCCCTATAACAGTAGGACCAAAAATGGAATTCACTCCCACTCTTTGTTATCAATTTTGTGGCCATTAAGCACTTCTATACTCCAAGAAGCCTCATTGGCATCCTTAAACTTGACGAATCCAAAACACTTTGATTTTCCATCTTCACTCTCACAACTACAGTGCTAGCTATTCTTCCAAAATAACCAAAAACTTCCCTAAGATCCTCTTTGGTTGTAGATTCAGATAAGTTTGCCACATAGCTAGACTTTAGAAGATTCAGGTTGTGGTGCATGTGAAGCTTCTCTTGATGTACTGCAAGAAGAAACTGATTCAATTATAACCACTAAGCTTAGAATCCTGGTTATTAAAGCATCCACCATCTGTGCCTACACGACCACCCTGGTGGTTGTTAAAGTGCGCACCATCTATGCCTCCATAATCGCTCGTTTTGCTGTTAAAGCCTCCACTCTCGTGTTCGGTGGGGTCTGGTTGGAAATACATTATTTGTATGGGCTTTCCATTCAAAGGAGTGAAGTTCAGCTCCTTCAATGCTCTATAAGCATCTTGAGGGTTGCCATAGGTCACATAACCATAACCAAGAGAGCATTGGGTAGCCATGTCCCTGAAAAGACTGGATGAGACCACTTGCCCGTAGAGCCTAGTAGTTTATGGGTATTTTACTATACAATTTTGTTTCGTATGTGATTTTTTTTTAGATGTTAATGATAGAAAAGGGAAACGAAATTTCTATACAAAAAAAAAACAAAAAAAAAAAAACAAAAACAAAAAAAAAAACAAAAACAAAAACAAAAAAAAAACAAAATAACGTCGTTTTGGGCCCGAGCGAGACATTGTGTGTCTTGATACACGATATAATTTGCTTGTTAAAAGAAGCTAGGCCGGGTTGAAACCGTCCAGGTCTGGAGACTTATCTGGGGCCATGCTAAAGATGCATCCTTCACCTCTTCGTACGTAGGGGTGGAGCCACCCCTTGGGGTAGGGCCCTGCCCACCCCACCCCACCCCATTTTTAGTAAATATATATGTATATATTATTATAATATAGATAAATTACACTTTTGATTCCCCTCTTAATTTTTTTTTTAAAAATAATCTATTATGTATATATTAAATGAACTCGAAAGATATATTTTTCATCCCTAAGTTATGGGATAATTATAGAATTCGTCCATAATTGTTGGTCGTGTTCACTTTTCGTCCCTAAGTTATAATTGACGTTGCAAATTTCGTCTTTTTAATAACAGGTTGTGGTCACTCTTCCTTTCTAAGCTATACTTCGTTCCTAATGTTTTGTTAGTAAAGGGACGAAATTTGCAACATTAATTACGGAGTATATTTTAGGGACGAAAAGTAAGCACGACTAATAATTATGAATTCTTCAAGAGTTAATGTCACATGAGGACCTCCGAGTATGGTGGTTTTGCCACGTTTAGTTCTAAACTTTTAAATTGATCATTTGTGGTCCTTCGACTTTCAAATTTAACCATTTGTGGTCCAAGTTAACCACCCATGGTCCTTCAACTTTCAAAATTTAACCACCCGTAGTCCTCTTGAAAGGACCATGGTTGGTTAAATTTAAGATGTTGGAGGACCATGTGTGGTTAACTTGGATTACGAATGGTTAAATTTGAAAGTCAAAGGATCACAAATGGTCAATTTGAAAGCTTAGGGCTAAACGTGGCAAAGCCACTATACTTGGAGGACCTCAAATGATAATAACTCAATTCTTCAATTACCGTATAACTTAGTGATTAAAAGTGTAATTTTTTCTATTTTTACTATTGTATAATTTTTGTGTTATGTAAAAAATTCAAAAGTAATGTTTGACAATCTTAACGATCGTACTCATATAATTATATACTTGAGATCGTAATGTTGGTCCACTAACTATTGCACTTGTGTTAATTGCAATACTTGACTTTCAAAAATGTTAATTGGGTACCTTGACTATGTGATTTCTATCAATTTTGGTCACGCTGGCCAAATTACCGGCGAATTGTGACCGGAAAATGTGAAGTCAACATTTGAACTAAATTAGAAGGGACAAAATTGTCTTTTCCAATTTGGGACATTGACTTATTGACCAAATTAAAACCCCTTTCCTGTTCTCGGCGCCTTATTCCTTCCGATGTCAAACCCCCATTTTCCGGTGCATTTTTCCGGCGTCTTCCATGAGGCAGAGCTTGTTGGACATCGACATTTGCTTGATCGTGAACTGGGTGAAGGCGAAGAGGGAATCCATGACGGATTTGAAGATGAACTCGTCGACGTCGAAGAAGAACTAGTAGACATCGAAGAAGAAGAAGAACTCGTCGACATCGAAGAAGAAGAAGAACTCGTCGACATCGAAGAAAACAGTCATTTTACGTTAAAAAAATTAAAAAATTATTTGCTTCTTCTTCTTCCTCAACACCTCCGGTGCCAACATTCTTTTCCGCCCTCTTCAGTCTGCATAAACAGTGATTGGTGCCGTGATTTTTTTCCGGTAAGCGGTGGTTGGACACCTTCTGGATAGCCGATGTCGCTATTGAATTGAGGGGCATTGCAGGCAGAATCGAATATCGCGGAGGTTGTTGTTGACTAGTTGCAGGATGGCGGTTTTTTGGCGAAGGAAATGGAAATGGAATGTAGAAACAGAGTTTACGGTTTTTTGGCGAAGGAATTTTCCTCACTCACGTCTCTGGTCTCTCTGGAGTCTGGATAGCCGCTGCCCTCTATCATGTAGAAACATAGTTTGCATTTTTTTGGCAAAGGAATTTTTCAAATCATGCAGCACTAGTGGAGTATGGAAATCGTCTTAAGAGCTTGAACGGAAAATGTCTTTCCGGCAGAGATGTCGACGACCAAGGATGTCGGAGAAGAGAAGGAAGCCCAAAGGATGTTTAAATAACATGAAATGACACTTTTGTCCTTTTTATTTAAAATGTTTAAGTTTTTCCGGTGAGATTTGGCCGGCCATTTTGAGATTTGGCTGGCAATTTGGCCGGCGTGACCAAAATTGATAAAAATCGCATAGTCAAGGTACCCAATTAACATTTTTGAAAGTCAAGTGTTGCAATTAACACAAGTGCAATAGTCAGTGGACCAAAATTGAAATTTTCTCTTATATACTTCATATATTATTGCAAATAGTATAAATAAAGGCACAATGGTATATATATATATATATATATATATATATATATATATATATATATATATATATATATATATATATATATATATATATATATATAATATTGTGTGGTTGGTACTAATATCGTCTAAGATGATAAATTTCTCTATAAATTTGGCCCCCCCAACCCCGACTTTGCTCCGCCACTGTTCGTACGTATAAGGCATCCTTAGTTCTGCGTTGCCCTCTGGGGTGATTTGCTGGTGAAATGGTACATGAAAGCCGATCCATGGCGTCGACCAGCAATTATAGCGTGGACCATGGTCCAAAAATGACGTTGTTTCTTTAAGTAAAGAAACAGCTGCCGTTACAGCTTAACGGAACTCATATTTTTGGTGTGTTAATTACCAAATGAAACTATAATGTATCTAAAATGAAACTGTCTCACATATTGTTTTTATATTATCAAATGAAACTGTAATTGAATTGAATTGAAATGAAATTGCAGTGTATATAAAATGAAACTGAATAACAGTTTCACATATTTGAGTGAATATTTTCCAATGAAACTGTAGTTATATTGAAATGATACTGTAGTTGTGTTGTAATGAAACTATAGTGTATATAAAATAAAACTGAATAACAGTTTCACATATTTGAGTGTATAATGTCGATTGAAACTGTAGTTATATCGAAATGAAACTGTTGTGTATATTGTCTAATGAAACTGTAGTTATATCAAAATGATATTGTAGTTGTGTTGTAATTAAACTATATTGTCTATAAAATGAAACTGAATAACACTTTAACATATTTGAGTATATAACGTCGAATGAAACTGTAGCTATTTCGAAATGAAACTATAGTTGTGTTGAAATGAAACTGCAGTGTATTTAAAATGAAACTGAATATGTTATACAAACAGATCTACTTTATACGAAACGGCGCAGAATGGGGGCAATTTATATCGTGCACCAGGACGCGCGTTGCACTGTGCGCCCTGATGCAAAACGACGTCGTTTCACATAACTGTATAAAAAAAATACACATAATCGTATAAATAAATACACAAAATTGTATAAACAAACACACATAACTGTATAAAAAATATACATTATTTATAAACAAATACACATAATCATGTAACTCCCTACCGCGCCTTCCAAAACGACGTCGTTTTGGGAGGCGCGAAACGCACAGTGCGATGTGCGCCGTGGTGCAGGGTATAACGATTGCAGAATGAGAGCCGTTTATTTTCATTAAAAGAAACGGCGTCGTTTTGGACCATGGTCCACAATGCTTTGTGGATCGCGGTCCACGGTTAAAACCTCAACACTCAGCTCTTCTTCTATATAGCCCCCGTCCACCATGTCCCAAAGATCTTGGGACACAAACAAACTCTTCATCATGCTGCTCCAAATCTCATATTCACTCCCATGGAACACCGGAATTCTACTTAACAAAAAACTGCACTAGAAAAGTTTAATGTTAGTATCTTACATTATTACCAATTCAACCTGAATTAGATAGATACCAGGTAATGGAAACAATGCCATATATTTCAGCAAGCAACAACTTCCATTAAGTAATTCCATCTAACATCACCCATACAGAAAATAACTTCAAACAGACCCTACATAGCTCAATTTCGAATCCCGTGTTCTGTTGAGCGAGCATATAGCCATTAATGTGCAATCCAACTATTAGCTTAGGCTTTTAGTTGAGATGGAGCACATACTTCAATTTGGTATATCAGAGCCAGACCAAAGGTCATGAGTTGTTGCTTGGAACTCACCGCACACGTGAGGGGAGCGTGTTGAGCATATAGTCATTAATGTGCAATGTGCAATCTAACTATTAGCTTAGGCTTTTAGTTGAGATGGAGCACATGCTTCAATTTGTTCGAACCAAACACACCCTTAATATGATTATCCAAGTGTTTTTTTTTAACTCTACTACAATGTAGTATTTGTTCATAAACTACTTTTTCAACCTAACGAAGCACAAAGAGTCAATGCTGCCTTCACTGAGGCTCGAACCCACAACCCCCACTGAGGCTCGGACCCACAACCTCCCTTATGGGAATCCTGGTGCCATTAAACCACAAGATCTTGGCTCAAGTGTTAATGATACCCCAAAAAGAAACTAAATTTGGGTTTTTGTCCCTTTAGC